CGGTTGAGTTATTAAAAGCACACTATAGTGTTCGCCTTCGTATTTATAATAAACGATAAATTGTATTAATACAAATACATATTGTTAACTGAAAATTACTCAAATCTAATATCCAAATATTCATGTATGCTCACGCTGACGTTGGGAAATTATATTTTACAATTATTCATGGAAATAAAATAGCACGTAATATACACATAGTTGGTGTTTCGGAGCTATAGGTTTCGGAGTTTCTTATGGCACGTAAACGACGCGATCTAATCGATTGCCAAAATTCGACCTTCGGACTGTAAAACTAAATTAGGAACGTAGCTATCACATCCATTGGTACGCAACGTTTACAATCAAGTAAACTCACACCTATCAAAACATTTTTGTATGGCATAATCGATTCCATTTTTTTTCTAAACTAAAAAACACGTCTTGGAATTTAAATTTACTGATATGATAACAATCAAATGGTTCGTTCGTGTGATATACGATTCGTACTGATTAATTTCTAACGATTTCATACTAATGATACCAACTATACACATTTAAACAATAAGAGAGGGTTTTCGCAAATGCAGTTAATTTTCTTCTCGGCCATCATCATAACATAATTGGATAACATTTAGTTATAATATTTTTTGCTATTACAATAGTATTATTTCCAAAAACGGTCACACAAATTACAGTCAAAGTGCAAATAATGTTTCCATAACATAAAAAGACTACACAACAGTTCCGGTGTATTAAAATAACTAAACAGCTGTCCAAATTCGTATTAACGTATATCAGGATAGCTAATTAACACTGCTACAGAAGTATAATAAGTATGACCATATTTTCATTATTTTTTTAATCGAATTACATTTTTATATTAATATTATATTTAAGTTATGTTTTTCGTGCCAATTTGTATATTATAATGGTGTACATTTTAATTTGTTCACACAATAACATGTAGTATACTGTAGGTACTTGAACTCTTTAGAAAGAAAACCACCTCAAAATAATTTAAATTATTTTAATGAAATGTATACATACAAACAAACCTATTGCAATTTTCAGATAGCTATACAAATAACTTTTCCGCAAAAAATTAAATATACCTTTCGGTTGCAAATACGATTATATTGTCAAATAATATATTATTAACCGAAAGTGAAAGAGCATAAAGAAAATTCTCGACTTATTGATATTTTTTACTTGGAATATAAAATGAAATGTATATTAAATAATATCTTCTTTAATTATTCAATAGTTTGATAAAAGATACTAACCACCTCAAAGTGATTTTTCCGAGAATACTTTGCAATATAGCTATAGGCTATAGCTGTACTCGTATTCAAAGTGTTTAGTTATTCAACGGTTATTTTTTTTTATTATTTTTTCAATGTGTTTAATAAAAAAAAAATTTAAAAAATTGTAATGCAAACTTTTCTGAATTGATAAAATATATAATGCGACATACTTTACATTTATTAAATAATAAATACTTTACTTGTAACAAAAGAAAATAAATATCCGTTTTAAATATTCAAATTATTTAAATATTGTATTGCATAGCAATTGAATTGATTACCATGTACTTATATATATTATTCCGAACAAAACAAAATATTAATATTTAAATACATTTTAAGTTTTAAATTTATTCAACAGTAATCAATTCAACTGCTATACAATACAATGTTTAAACAATTTTGTTTGAAAATTTGTATTTATCTATCATGCTTCGTAAAAATAAGAAAAAATATTGATTATTACAGTTAGTGAATCACAATGTTTTACAAATACGCTTATCAACGTTCGTTATATTTAATGAATAATGAACAATGTCAATAACGTGAACATAAATTGATACTAAATTTAATGTTATTATATAAGAAAAATTTTTTTATGAAGTTTAAAACTATATGAAGTGGCATGAAGATATAATTGATTTTAATTGATAACGAGTCAAGTAATTTAAATAATATCGTTAAATACGAGTATCTTAGAAGGTACTTAACCAAAAATAAAAAAAACTTTTCGATAAATAATAAAATAAAATTATTAAATGGTCGATACTCGTAAATAAATAAATAAAAAAGTAGTTTATATATATATATATATAGAAATAAATAAATAAATAAATAAATGCTTAGTCCGAAGTATTATTATATTTGTAATTTATGGCTAATTTTTTCAAATGATGCATTAAAAATGCATCAGCAAATTAATCAAACAATTCAATAAAATCGCGACTCTTTTTTTATTTATTTACTTATTGATAAATTTAATGGTACTCATTAATACCATATATTTGTTATAGTAATTTTAAAAGTTTATGTGTTGTAAATAATGGCGTATTTTTATGGTACAATTTATTACAATATCTGTGTATCACCAGTAAATCCTTAGGGGATTAAGTGACATATGACTTTCCCCGTCATCTTTTGTCTGTCTGGTTGTTAATGAGATTCTTATTGGCCATATTTGTTTTGAAAAACTACTCAGCAGTAAAAATAAATAAAAAATCCCATATAAGACACGGTCCTACATATATATATAATGTGATAATTACAATTTGATTTATTTTTTCGTTGTATCAAAACAGAAACTTATTATATTTTTTATGTTTATTATATATTAACTATGGTATTTTTAATGCACCAAATGATTCGAGATAGAATTTGAAAGTATTTACACTGTGAACAAGCTTCGCGTACAAATAATTATTACCTAAATCATTTTTCCTTGATTGTCGTCACAAAAATAAGTGATATTTATATAAATTAGAATATGTTACCTTAAAACAAATACTAAGTTATTGGAAGAAACTCGACAAGTTTTCAACAAATATTTTAAAAGTACAATATTTGCACAACACAAATTTTACGAGCTAAAATAATGGATTTGGAAGAAATACGAGTATACCATATTAATAATAAAATCGACTTTGAATAACGTATTTTTCTTTTGATCATAATGATATTTTAAAATTATTCTCGTCAACACAAGTTTCTCTTTAACGCGTTCAACACAATATTAATATAAAATATTTTGAATAAAGTTTTATTAAGCTAATTGAAAAAATAAGTCGTTTAGAAATTTGAGTATTGTTTAACTTTTCAGTATTATAAAAAATTATTTTTAACAATATTTTTTTACGTGAAATTCGCTTCTATATGTATACTTTTTTCGACGAATTTTTCGTGTTGTACACGTACTTTGTTTACTAGATATATACATCAATAAACCGATATTAGTCGATTGCGCCGGTACAAAAAAAATTAATAAAAAGGTACACATCAATTGCGCCGGAGTTTTTTTGTACATTTTATACTAGAAAATTTTTAATTTTAATAAATTATCAGTTCTTTACTAAGTTCACTTAAAACTATTTTCATTATAAATATGAGCACAAACCAACGACGGCTATACGTAAAACGCATAGAAGTATAGTATATTAAACAATAGTGTGGACTTATTTTATAAACATGCAACAATTGTCAATATTTTGGTTTATCATCAAATAATAAAATAATATAATTATCAAAATAATGGCTTTTAAACGCACTTACTGGCGAAACGATGTAAACCCATTTTAATCAAAATTTTTGAAGTAGAGATATTAGATTACCACACTTTAGAATTAACTAGGAAATCTAATTCGTAAAAATAGATTCGTAGTATAATTAAAAATCTTTAGTCACCAAACATATTTGTAAATGACTAATTTACTAAATGTACAATACTATTAATCTGTAATTTTAATATCAACTTTAAAAGTATTATACACGTTTCAATATATAAATTAAGGACAACTTGATCGGCGCAGTTGATGTATACCTTTTTTCTATCCCATACATTTTCATTCTTCACCTACGATTTTCGGCGCAATTGATATATGCCAACAATAAACATGATTAAACATTTAATACGTGTAAGAATATTGTAAATTTTTGTTTTGTTTAAAATCTTAACTGCATCATATTATTATTATTTTCAAACCACAGCACATATTTTACAGAAAAATAATTTGTTGAAAATATCGATACATAATACACAATATGTAATTTGTATTATAAATCGAAGTGAAATTAATTTTATGTAAGAATTTAAAGTCTAGTGAACAAGAAAGTGCTCATACGTTTTGCGGAATATCCTTAGCCACGTAGAAAACACATTTTTCATAAGAATGAAAAAATTATTTTTTTATAAACATTAGTATTGAATAATAATTATTGTCAATATTTATTCAATATTGAAAAACGATAATTCTTAGCATGCAAATGGAAACTAAACATGTTGTACAAATACGTTTGATTAAAACAACGAAAATATGTTTATTTGCGCCAGCACTAGAGGGCAGAAACCCGTATACCTAACCAGGGTGTCACACTTGTAGGGTTTCGCTAAATGAGGCACGATATGCATGTACCTACCAGTAATGACCAATAAGGGGTGATGGTAATTCGCATCAAATTTAGGTAGTTACAAATATATTTTGCTTCACATGCCCATTTGTCTAAACACGCCTACTTTACCAATTTATATTATAATTTTATAAGGAACTGCATGTTAACAAATATTTTATAATATAGATACATTTGATTTTTACGTGTACAAAAACTATTTCGTTTCAGCTAATGTGTACGATTGTTTTTATTATTTAATCGCAAATTTACAATTTTTTTTAAACTTTAATCGTGTTATAAGCTATTACGCATTTCTCGGCGTGTAACGTAAAATTAAATAGAAAACGCAATGAACGTACTATACGTAATGACACTATACGATGAAACGGTTCCGATAAGTTAGTGTGGTATATTACACGGCGATATTCGTCACCGGTCGCGCCGCAGAGTATTTTATATTAATTTTTTTTCCCTCCTGACGCAAATCACAAACGCCCCCCCCCTCCCTCGGCCCGACAAAGAACATAACGAATCGGGACCGATTCGTCAACATTCCGACGGGCGGTGCAACGCAAAGCGAACTTATTACACGCTAAAGTGGTGTATACTGACCGTTGATGCCCAACTTGAGGAACGATCCGGCGCTGGCGGCGGCGAGCACGTGGAACAGGGACAACGCGACGCGGAGCGCGTGCATCTCGCGGCCCGGCGGATACGCACTGGACGGGGACGCGCGCCGACGGCGGTCACGGCGGCAGCTGTGGCATGAACGTCTACCGGGGACGCGGCGGACGACGGGACGGGAAAAACGGTACACCGCCGTCAACGGCGTTCACGGGGACGCGCGGCAAACCGTTGCGCGTCCGTCGCCGTCATGCCGCCGATGTTGCTGACCGTCCGCGTTGCCTCCGATCGCCAGTGGACGCCACGGATATGCCGGGCCGGGGCACGTGGATCGGGATTTCGATCGGTCGATCGTCTATACGATTCGCGTCTACCGACCGTCCGCGATCCGGTCGCACCGCCGCGAGCGATCGCCGGCGCCGTACGGCGATGCGTGTCGTGAGTGGTGAGGGTGGGGGGAGGGTCGGATCGGTGAACAGCAGCGATCGCGAGTGTTGCCCGGCGAACACGTTTTTTGCAAAGCACCGCGCGACTGTTGACTGTTGACTGCGCGTCGTTGGCCATTCCGTCGCCTACGACGAGAAACTACCCGACCATTTATAATTCGGCATATCCGCAAATCGTTGCCTGCTCCGGGCGTGAAATCGTACACGTACGCACGTACGCACGCACGCACGGAAAAACAAAAGAGAGAAAGAAACGAACGGTGTGGAAAAGAGAATAATAATAACGATTGGCGCACGTGTGTCACGCGGTCCGCTGCCGCCGCGCATACTTCGGCGGCAGACAGCTCGGCGGCAACGGTCAGTTCCGCGTGCTATTTCGACCCGGCGAACCGGCGGCTGACACGTACACGACGCACACGGCACGAACGTATAAGACTCGAGACGACGGACCTTTCCCCGTTCGCGTACTTTCGGTGGAACAACGGATTTGAACGTGTTTTCGAATTCGATAAAACTTTTTTTTTCGTCGAAATCGAAGCGCACGTAGTTTTCACCTCGCGCTCATCGATGGCGTTGACCGAAATCAGGGCCGTCCCGAAGATGAAAATCAAAGGGAGGGGTGGGAATAATATGAAAAATGCCGACTGCAATTTTTTTACTTAATGTATGCAGTATAATTAACTATATGTAGTCGTATTTTTAATTTTAACATGTATATATGCCCGGAATTATATGCACTAAAAACATACGAAATATGCATGCATTTAAGCGATGGTTATCATTCAAATATGCACTCAAAATATGCGAAAATATGCAATCAAAAATGCATGTAATTTATTTATTAAATTTAATTGATTTTAAAATGTATACGATTCATTAAAAAATTAATATTCAACAAAAAATATACTTTAAAATATATCAACTGTATTTTATATATTTTATTGAACTGTATGAAACTGTATGTTGTATTGAAATTAAATTGTATTTTGAACACTCTCTCATCTAAACAAAAAGTCACAAACGAAAATCAATTTAAATAAATCAATCGGATTTTTATAATATTTTTAAAGTTACCCAAAGAGTTACTATCGTATTGGTACTTTTAGCAAACTTTATCTTATTTTATTATAACACAAAAATCAAATTATATAACTGCACGATTCACGGAATTTACGATGGACATGTGCTAAGTAATAAATAATAATATTTTTTTCTATATATGCATTATATTTCAGAAAAATGCTAAAATATGCATAATAATTTGAAATGTTCCAAATATGCAAAAGTATGCCAAATTAAATTTCGCATACCAACGCATTAGATTAAGATTCAAATTTCTGTCTTACCTAGCTACTCTTTAATTTAATGTATAAAAATATGCAAATGCATATAATTCCGGGCCTTAGTTATAATTATAAGAATCGGTCAGGTGTCAAAATTCCGCATTACAAAATTTTTTAAAAATATTGCGGCTTTAACGCGTGATCAATTGCATTCAGGACTCGCTTAATTATAGCGGAATAACAAGAACCGAGTTCTTATGCATCTAATCGAAACTATGTCTTCGACTCGAGAACGTGTACCTACATTCTGTTTTTATTTTTATGAAGAAATGAGTCAAAACGCATTGGCAATAGTTACATTTTTATTTTCAATTATTTTAACATGTTTATTAATATTTTCGCTAAAAATATCATTTATCTGTATAAATAAAAGTAGAGAACAATAAAAACTATAAATTGGGATTTAATAGATACATCAAATTATTTATAATTATGGAATTTGATATAACTTCATCGTTTTATATTGATAATAAGAATAACATCGTAAGCAGGCACGTAGCCAGAATATTTCTACTAGGGGAGGGAAACAATTTTTGGCCCTTTTATAATTTTTTATAATTATTTTCAATGCAATACTTGCTTCCCCCTCGCACTCATCACTAGGCGGTATGCCATATAAAGAATCTTATTAATTTATAATTTAACGAGTTTCGTAATGGAACGCATTCACGAATACAGATAAACAGTGATTTCTGTAAGAAATCAGCAGGATGATCTGCGGATCCTGAATCTAAGGCGTTATACCATTCAATACTCACTAGTCTATGAATAATCTTCTCATAGTTAGCATTTTTTAAATCGTAATAAGTGTGTTGTGCGCCAAGCATAGGAAGGGCTGAAGAAAAAAGACAACTTTCTCAACTCAAAACTCGGTGGAAAATGTTTAAAACATTTATTGGGTATTTATAATTTACTATGTCAAGAAAAAAACTGAATTGTGCGAAGAGGATTTAACAAAAAACGAAGTCTAAAGTAATACAAGTACCTTGATGGTCTATCCGGTAGACTCTACCGTATTAATAGAATGCAATTGGAACTCCGGAATACAAAGCAACGTTCAAATTATTATTTTTTTTATTCATCACATGCTCCAACCCCACTAAACTTCCATACAAGCACTTAGTCACTCCTCCACTAGTTAAAGTTTTGTCTATGCTATTGAATCGATCGCTCAGTACTATTCGAGTTCAATTAAATTTACTACTTGATAGAAATTTAGTTTCAACCTGCATTATAATTACTCACTGAAAGCCACTCGATTGAATAGAAATTCATAAAATATTTAATTACAGTTATAAGTATGTACAGTACAGTCGAGTCACTCGAAGTTGAAGGGTGATAAAAATTCACTTCGAAATATGTATTATTCGAGATACCTAACTCGAATTTATCAAAATTAAATCAAAACTTCAACTTATGTAATGAAATACAATTTTAAAAATTTACATAAAATACGTTAATACGTTATGATAAATATATGTACATGAATGTTAACATAAAATCTTCTAATTTGCCTATGGCTTCGAATATATTAGTATTCACGTCTTCAACAGATTCAACAAATTGCCTAGGCAGTTTGTAATGATGACGTTGCTTGTTTCACCGTAATCATATTAAAGGTCTTTTAAGCTCATCAGGAATCATTACTTGATATACAGTTACTCATTTTATAATACACATTTTATACCCATAATTTCGTAATAAGTAAAAATATATATCATATATATCAGCAGTTCTTAACCTGTGGTCTACTGCCCTCTAGGGGTCCACGATATTCATGTCAAGGGTCCACGGCAGCCCTAACACATAACATACATAAATACGCGACATAAGTGCATTATTAAAATATTGCTGGATTATTTTTATTATTTTTTTTCATATATTTTTTATTATTTAATAGATAAATTTGATCTTTATATGATGTGCAAATACTTGTGTCTCAAGTATAACACCAACAATCGCATTAAGTTAATAAAAATTAATTCAATTTTAAGAATATTAAAAAAAAAATGAAAACTAAAATAATTATAAATATGAATGTTTTGTTACGTCTACTAATGTATTTTATTATATAAAATAATTATTTTTATTTTGGTTTTAATAATACGAGATGTTTTGTAAAAAAAAAAAAAAACTGATTCGAAAAAGAAATTGGTAAGATGGGTCCGCAAATTCTAAAAATCATTCATCAGGAGTCTGTGATCTGCAAAAGGTTAAGAACTGCTGATGTATACTGTACAATACAAATATATAATAGTCCACTGATTGATCCAATGACTGACAGCATTACAACATTATCAAAAATTGTAGCATACGATTGAAATTTAATCGGTTGACAGTGGCAGATACAAGGGTGGGGTGATAGGGTAAATACCCCCCTGAGCTTATTATTCTAGAAAATTTGAGAATTTTAGAAATTTCTAGTTATATTCAGTGTTCAGCGGGCCTCACTCGATCAGTAATACTGACAGTATTTCAGATACTGATAGTACTATTGATCGTGTGAGGTAAGTACTGATGTACTGTCAGTATGAAAAAAAACAATACTGATGACTGATGAAAAAATCATTTTGGTGTACCATATCTATAAAATTTGTGTTGTTTTTTTAAGTATATAATTGTTGTCATTGATACCAGTTTTAAAAAATAAATTCAAATTAATAATATTAAAAAGTATATTATTAAGTTTGAATAGTATCTGTTGGATAAATTTTAATTACCCCCCCTTTGATAAATTTCTGGATCCTTCTCTGTCGGTTGATCGATATTAAGTATATCTACTACAATCTGCTAATCATATCCACCATCATCATCATCATTTTTTTTCATCGATATCATTGTCAACATGTATCAACATCATCACACTATTCTTCATTAAAATAGAATCCAGCTTTTTTTGAAACAATTGATAATTGTATTTGGTTGTACAATACTATATACACTAATCAATACACACTTACTGTTATTGTGCATGCGCTAATAATCAGTTTCTATCTACTCGTGTACTGTTTATTATACAGTAAGTACAGATATAACAGATATATATTTATACACAGTTTTATATTCGAGTTAACAAGACTTATAATACATTGAGTGTTATAAAAATTTCTAGAGGAATAAGAAAAAAATCGAGGTGTCAAGTTTTTCGAGTTATCGCGACTCGACTGTACTTAATGAATCGGACGATGAGTATAACAAATAAACATTATGTAAATTGCCAAAAAAAGAACATTTAGTAAACTTAAATTGGTGATTATTAGGTTTTAAAGAACTAATATTATTTATAATGGTATCTGCACGAATAAAAATATCATTGTTTATATGTAATTTTTTTTTTGTATTTTGAATACATTTTAACAGAAAACAGATAAAATAAAAAAGTTATATTTTTAAAATGCTAACGAAGTATTATTAAATATATAAATAATTAATTAAAAATGTTTAAATATATTTTAATAAACTTATTATAATAATTTACAATATTTTATTGAATATTAATCATTTTTATTTATTTACTATTAAATGTTTTACAATTATATGTTACAATTGATTATAATAATGTTTTATTCAATTCATTATTATAATTACTATAACATTATTCAAATATTGAATTTATTTATATATTCTAAATACCCGTTAAAACGTACGAATAAATTATATTTGTAATTTGAATTTTCAATTCATGTGTATGAATCAATAAATTAATTATCGGCTTTAATAAAATTAAAATAATCTAATAACAAAGATGACAGTTTGTTCCG